GAGGAGGCGTTCCAGACGGAAGGACAAAGAGGCAGGCCAGCTGAAATCTTAGACGGCAAAGGGAAGCCTCAGACAGAGCCGGCCCCTGGAACCCTCGCCAGCCCTCCTCAGTCTGCCTCGTCACCCCACTGTGGCCACAGCAAAGTCACATTCTCCAACCCCACACCCAGAGCCAAGCAAGGCCATATTCCCTGTCTACCTGCACACCATGTCTTAGTTCATGTCTTAACTGGGAGTGGGGGGGACGGTGGGTGTGGGAGAACCGTTTCTGCACATGGACCAGTTCTGTCTTGTTTCTCTGTTGTCACATAAAATCTGGGGTGTAGGGCAGGGGATGCTGGGGCCGCTCACCTGGAGACACAAATTCTGCACCAACTCAGGTGCCTTTCCAACGCCAAATGGGAAGAGCCCTGTGTGTTCTGTGAGCCACGTCCATCCCCTCTTTCCAGCTTGTAGTTCTTGGCTCTAAAGATTCACGATGCCAGTGCATGCGTTAACCTCTAATGTTAGGTGCTCTGAAAGTCTTTCATTTTCCTCTGCTACTGGGTGTGCATGGGGCTGTGCTTAAAGCTTCAGAAGCCTTGGCTTTCATCTCTAGTCATGGTGGTAGGGATTGTCTGAAAGAATTCCGCTCGTCTGGAGCGGGGTGGGCGGGCTCAGAGACTGGCCTGATTTCCAGGGGGTCCTGCTATTGAATCCCAGAGCCCCTTCTCCTCCAAGGTGCCCCAAACTTCCTCATCGGTTCAACAGGACCGCTCTTGGAGCCTTAAAGATTGATTATCTCTGTTCGAAACAATGTTTAGTTCTCTTCCTATCTGATTCTGGTAATCTGGGTTCTGCTCTTTTATTTTTCAGTCCTTTTCCTTTCCTTCCATCTGGGAGATGGCGGAGCAGGTACAGTGCAGTGCCTGCGGACCTCACAGAGTTGGTTCTTCCCACCTGCAAACGCTCAGAGTCTGCTGAGGTCGACGAGGGCATTGTTAAGCCTGACGTCAACTGTGCATCTTAAGCACTCACCATAGTGTGAAAAGGAATCTTATTTGATGATTTTTAAATTTTCACAAAAAAAATGTTTGAGGTAGTTTTTTCACCTACATTACAAAGGGTGAGGCAAAAGTAGGTTTACAGTTGTTCATATGGAAAATAATAAACAGTAATACAAAAATAAACTCTGCATTTTGTGTGCTCACAACTGTAAACCTGCGTTTGCCCTGTATTTCTTTCTTCCTGATCCTTCTGCTCCTTTAACGGGCTTTCCTCATGTCCTTTAGCACTTTTCTGAACATGTGAACAGAACTTCCAATGGTTCCACCAGCGGGTAGGTCCCAACAAGCTCTGTTGAAGCACAAGCAGGCCAGGGCCGCTCTCTCTTCCCCGACCACCCTCCCAGCTCTGTAATTCTGTGATTTTAAACTTGCTGGGGGAAAAAAGGACAAAACAAGAAAATTCCTACCATCTCAGCTCAGCTCTGTGCCATGAAACCCTCATGCTTTTCCAACCACCCCCTGGGGTACAGTTCATCGTGCACATTTGTAAGGTAATAAGGTTGCCCTGCATGAAAAACAGCCCTGTGCTGGGGCTGCCGGAAAACCTGATCACAGGCCCCTTAACCCCAAGGGCCAAAGTTTCCTCCTTGGAAGAGAACACGCAATTCATTCCAGATCAGCCAGCCAAGTCTCCCAATTCTTCTAAATGTCTCCTGTACTTCTTTTTCTCTCACATTAAAAAAAAAGGTTCATCTCGTATCAACTGTATTTTCAAGGATTATAAAACGTGAGGCTCAGTACCAACGGCAAGTCGACACAGAAGGAAGAGGAGCAGACCTCAGCTGCACGTTGGACACAGGGGCGCCTCCCGTTACATCTCACACCAGGTGCACCATCCCTAAAGCTTCCTGCCTGGCTCCGGGCTCCAGGAGCAAGGGGACTGCAGGGCAACCATCCAAACAGCATACAATTTCTGAGCGTGAATGAGGTCACGGAAAATAGTTCACAGGCATGAACTAATCTCTAGCGGGCATAAACCAAGACTCTCCGTTGTCAACAAGACAGTCTGGTGGACACGGGGATGTACAGTGCCCGTCCAGGTGTAAAATCAAGAGCTTACAGCGAATTTGTGACAGAACCACAGACGTGATCAGAGCGTTGGGCTGTGTTGCTTCAGGAAATCATTACATCAGCATCACTCCCCTGGATTGATTTCCTCCTACCTCCCGGCCCCTCCTCTCCCAGCCAATCTGCCGAAGTTCCTCAGAGCTCTCTCCTGGGCCCTGATCTCTTTTCTTTTCACTCTATACCCTCTGTCTAGGCAAGATAACACTTAAAAAAATCTTTATGTTTAGGACATACGCCACTTCTCACTTCCAATCCCATATTCACCCACAACTGTCTTCTCAATGTCCAACTTCTCAAATGCCCAAGTCAAACCCTCGGTCTGATTTACCCCAGAGCCTCAAAGATGCTCTCCCTTTAGGCCAGAAACCTGAACGTCTTTTTCAACATCTCCATCTCCCTGGCCCGACAATGGCCAAGAACCACTGATCAGGCAGGCACCTCAGTGTACCCTGAATGGGTTCACTCCGCCCATCCCCATTGCCTCCATCCACTCCAAGCTCCCATCTCTTTGCCCTGGAGAGTGGGGTCCCTGTGCTGGTTCTCCATCAGCTGATGTTCCCCCATGTTCACCTGTATGTTGAGCCCATTTCCTACTCAGTTCATTTTCTACCAGGCGACCACAGCCACCTTCATAAGATGCAACTAGGATCACATCATCCCTAGGTTAAAACCTTTCCCTGGGTCCCCACTGTACACGAGACTGTGTTCAAAACACTGAACCGGACGTCTGATGCCCAGCCCGCTCAAGTTCATTCATACCAGAAACTCCTCCCCACATCAGGGAGGTCTCACCTGGTCTGCCCTTTGTAGAAAGAGTGTTTTACAAGGTTCCACGTTCCCCAGCTTGCATGCACACATGCCCATGTATGCACGAGCACAAACCCCCTTTTGCTGCCTGTCTTCTACTTATTCTTGATGCTTGGTTTAAAAGGCATTTATTTCCCTGGGGAAGCCTTCTGACCACCTGCCATAGGACCCTCACTCAGGTAAACACACTCAGAGCGCTGGCATCCTGTTTTAATGAGTGGTATTTTAATGCAAGGGTGTTAAACTCATTTTCACCAGGGGCCACATCAGCCTCACGGTTGCCCTCGAAGGGTCAAATAATTTTAGGGCTGTATAACTGTAACTACTCCTTAGCTAGGGGCAAGGAGCTCTACATTCGGCCCTTTGAAGGCAACCATGAGGCTGATGTGGCCCCCGGTGAAAATGAGTTTGACACCCCTGTTTTAATGTCTATCTTCCCCTATATTAAAAATCCAATAAAGCATATTTAACTAAAAGAATAAAGAGGTGGAAGGAGTCAAGCAAAAGCCGTTTACAGCCCGGTAGCTTGCACCAGCCCCACCGCTCCCTGCTCCATTCTTGGTGGGGCCAGTATGAGAGGGGACAGAAGAGAAATGAGCAGAGCTCAAAGGGGAGTTGAGAATAACAAGCAAGGAGGTGAAAGGACCACACATGATGCTTGCTCTTCATTTGCACCCAATTTTCTCTCTTTTTATTTCTTGCCCCAAACGGATAAGAAAGGGGACTGTGGAAAGGGGAAGTGTGGGTGACACCACACAGCTTTTTTGTACGCAGGCAAGTCACTCAACATTCGTGGGCTGGATGGACTTCCTGGTCCACAAGAATATACAACAAGGTCATCCCAGAGGGTCCCTCCGGCTCCCGCATGGTGAGTCTTTGTGGGAGGGACAGTGGTGGCTCAGAACTGAGGCACCCACTCTGTGCTGCCTCCACCAGCATCTGAACGGGGACACAGCATGTCTCCACACGCTGGGGGTCCCCCAGTAAGTTCCTTCACTACATGTGCTAAAAGATGCAAAGCTGAATTGCTCAGAGCTCCTGGGGAACACGCCGGCTCCTGGGGAGGGGGGAATTCGGCCCTGCCTCCACCGCCAACGCTGCTGTGAAACCGGTTTCCTGATGGGAATGGATGCTGAAGGCAGAAATCACTCAAAGCACATAATTTAAGTATCAGTGACTAAAGAGATCCGGCGAAAGCAATTCAGAATAGAAATGCCTACTCTTTAGGTCTCCCCCGCAAAAAAAATTTTTTTCAGTTAAAATATTATTTTCCATGGAAACAAACCATGTTCCTTTCCGTTCAATATACATGGTGGGGAAAGTAGACTTACAGGTGTGAGTACGTGAAACCCGGAGTTTATTCTTGTGTTATGTTTTCATTACTGTATTATTATTTTCCATACCAACTGTAAATCTGCTTTTGTCCCAGCCTGTATTTCCGACGCGGGTATTTCCCAGGCCTCCTGAATCCCACTCTGCTGGGCTGCTCCTGTTTTTCAGTGCATTGCAGACGCTCCACAGAGACAGGCAGAATTACACACAAATACACAAAATTACATGTTCACTCATGGGCAACTTTGGAGATCATCTGCTCGGTGGAACAGATGTTAACTTACTTAAACCAACAGGGGCGTTTATAACACAGAATGAAAGGGCAGCAAAGATCTCATGAAGCGAACTAGATAGGTTTGTTAGTGGCCAGAAGCAATGACAGACCACTAGTTAATGTACCAAAGAGTGATTTATGTTGATTGTAACATTGGTCAGCATCTTTGGGAAAGACCTGCATTGTGTTCGGGAAAGCTATTCCTATCCATCTGCTGCACTTAGTCCACGCGGCCGCCCAAAGCAGAAGACTGATGGGGAACATTCAGCAAGAAATTCTCCTCTGCCCCCGGCAGTCCTGCCAGGGCTCAGAGGACGGTGCATGTGTTCACTGGTACAAGACACACAGGACTGGACCAACGGACAAGTCTTCTCATCGACAGTAGAGGCCCAGACAATAGTTGTACCGGCATTAAAAAAAATTAAACTCGGAAATTCAAGTTGACATCGAGCAATAGCTCCCAGACTACTTACATCAGTGTCAGGTCCCTTGTCTGCACCCGGACAAGAAAATGTGACAAATTCATGGCACCTCTTGTGAACCACAAAACAGCAAACTGGCAGAGAGAAAAGAAAGTCAAAATTAGAATAAACCAGATTTAGTATACAAGTTGTTTTCCAGAAGAGCTATGTACTACTCATTAGCAGTCAACTTAATTTCTCTACAGAATCTTAAACGGCAATCAGAAGGCATTTCATTAAAGACACATCAACACTTAGTGTTGATCAGACTCTGATAACAGAACCGTACAAAGCCCGCACTGATGGGCCCCGGGGAACCTGACCCGCAAGTCTCTTTCTTTGCGGTTGAAGGCGAGCAGGCTAGAGACTGTAAGACAGTTTCTCAAGGTATAAAAAGCAAGAATCAAAATTTAAACTACTTCGCGCTGTCCTACACCAACACAATCATGCCCATATAAATGTTTATAAATGTTACACCCTGTAGGTGACATAAACTATAAAGAGTTTATAACTATAAATAATATATGGGTGTCCCTAAGAGTGGGTTCCAGAAGCTCCTCAGCAACATCGGGACCCGAGAAACTCATTAAGACACAGACCCTGTCTACAGAGAACAGCTATTTGAAATAAGGAAAGGCTCCCCTCACGCCTTCTTGCCATAACTATATAATGAGGGGGGAAGAAAGGGGAGAAAAGGGGAGAGAGAAGAGAGGATGGGGAGGTGATGGGGGAGGTGATGGGGGAGGTGATGGGGGAGGTGATGGGGGAGGTGATGGGGGGGGGGGGGGAGAGACGACTAAAGCCCAGAGGATGGAGATGTGGGTGTGCCAAGTCAGGAAGGTACAATAAGGGTTGTTTTTTCATTTTTAAATAGTTATCTTTTAAGGTGCTCATAATACAATGTCACGGTGCAAGTACATTTTTAAAAAAAGAAATGCAGGCTTGCCATCAAGCAGGCAGAGTTGGGCCTACGGGGGAACCAACCCTAAGAACGTGACGACTGAAGGTCTTTAAAAGAGCATCCCTTTAGGAGCAGAGATGAGGGGTTCTTGTTCGCTGCCCGCCACGCCTGCCCCCCCCCCCACCATCCGGGCAGGAGGCGGTGGGTGTGACCCACGGAGGAGAGGCCCCCAGGGCCTCAGACCCGGGTCTTCCCACTGCGTCCCTGCCCGAGCAAGAGCTCTGCGGCACTCCAAGGGTGAAGGACACAGCGGCGCTGAGAGGACACAAAGGACTCCTCTGCCCCCGCTGCCTAGGCACAGAGTCATCTTTCACTCCCTGGAATTAGGGGAAGAAATTGCTAGAGAAAGAGGCTCACAGGAGCCTCGCTGCTCCACCGTCCTCATGTATTGTGGATGTGGTGTTTGGAAGGGAAAATAAACATCATGATTCCTTACTTAATCGTTCGAATGTGCAGGGTCTTTTGTCTTTTTTCTTTTTTTTAAATCCATCTCTGCACTTATTAAGAAAACCTGTATTTATCAAATTCCTTTGGAGGAACAGTTTGTTTTTTAACTCTGTCCTTTCTACCATTACTTACCCATCCATGCAATTATATGTTACCCTAGTATTCTACTATATGCCTCAAAAAAAATTTTAAATCAACTTCATCTGAAAAACCAGGCCCTCAAGGCACAGCATAATTTATGAGGCAGCAAAAAGCCCCACCACTGGTCCCAAATACTTCTTCCCAGCCTGCCTTAGAGAAGCCTCCCCAACCTTACACAAAAGTCTCGGACCCAGCAGGGCCTGAGTATCCTACAGAATGTGGAGAAAAGGGCCATGTCTTCCCAGACAGCCATTTAGACACGAGCTACCTGAAGGATAAAGACCCCGCAGGCCTGTTCAAGACTGAAAATTCAGAACAAGTGGTCTTCAAAGGAAGCTACAGACCAGACCTATGCCTGAGTGACTAAGGAGAGACAGCTGGGTGAGCCCTTCCCTCACCCCGACCTCCAGGGAGGGGAGCAGGGAAGAGGAGCTCCCTGGTAGTGGCGGACTCCGGCATTGGCCAGGGAAAGGCTGTCTCAGAAAACTAAGGAAGGGCCAGAGATTCCAAAATCACCGATGGCTGACCTTGACCTTTGGTTTCAAGTTCCAAACTAAATTGGGTTATTTTGTAAGACAATATGATGCGAACATTTGAGGAGTCTTGCTACTGTCACTGGAAAATGAGGGAAAGACAATAAATACAGCAAGAGAATGCATTGGGTCGACCTGGAGATTGGACAGCAGAGACTTTCCTGAGGCTGAAATTAGGAGCTATGGTTTTCACCCTTTTTGTTTTGGAGTTCTAAAGGTCTTCATCTCACCATGTCATGGGGAACAAAGGGAACTGGGGAGCAGGTGAGGGAATAAGGTGCTACTTGTCACCGAGTATGCTTTCAATAAATAGCTGCCTGGCCCTGGCTGGCGGAAAGGCAACATTAAGACAGCAACCACTCAGTTGGAAGATGCACAGACATAAGTCACAATGGATTTCTCCGTGCTTGGTCCTGGAGCTGGACCGTTGGCCCTTGAAGAAGTCCTTGCTTAAGCAAGCACAGGCTGGCCAATCAGACTCTGAGATGGAGTCTCACGGTCAAAGACTTCGGGGCCCCTCTGCTTGTACAACCAAATGAGAGGTTTTAAAATAGGAGGCTGTCCTGCTGCTTAAAGTCACAAAGTAAACCTTCATTCAATTATTTCCTAAGCACAAAACCACTTCCCTCTAATCCTCGCCATGATATGCTTATGCTGCCCGACAGTGATGGCTCTGCTCACACACGAAATGCACAAATCACACCAAGCAAATGACGTGGGCAGACAAAAATAACCACGGTCTTGGCCTAATCATGCTCCTCAAGGTCACGTGGCTTTAAATGGAGACTGTTCAGTCTACTGATCTGTATCACACACTAATCTTACTTATGGAAGGGAACGAAATGGAAATTAAGGAGAGTTTTGGCCATCTGTCAAAGTAGGTTTCAGAGACAGAACAAGTGATATAGTCACCTATGTTTTCCTCAAGAATTCATAAAAATTTTTAAAAATTAAAAAAAATAGCAGGTGTGTTGTGCTGTTGCTGTGCTGACAGTAATAGTGGTTCCCAGTTGTGCCCATTAGTTTAAGAGGAACAGTTCTCAGCAAATGGCAGCCCAACAGCCAAATGCCCCTCATGAGAGAAACACCAGTCTCTTCTGACACTGCACCTCCCCTCCCCCAGTGAATTTGATAAGAGCTCACTTTGCTGTAGTGAGTTTTGGCCCAGTAGACACACCTGGGTGACCTGAGACTGCTCTGTGTCAAATGTTGTCCCCACACAAATGGGTGACTTGGGACTCTCGATACTGAACGATGTCTGCTGACATGGCCTTGGGCAACTGGTAAGCCCAGAGGCATTTTCCATACTCCATCCATGCACAGAGCTTCACTAGGGCGAACCGGTGCTACGTATAAAGGAGTCAGCTGCTGCTGAGATTCCTGCTCATTCAGATTCCTCCTCTGGACCAGCACCAACCCTGGTCACTCACCCACCACGCAGGCACAGCCGTGGCTGCCGAGTGAGAGAGAACTTGAAGGGTCTCCACTCCACACCCACGGGCAGGCTATTATTAAGAGGAAAGAAGAAAAATACCCAGTGATGGCAAGGGTGAAGAGAAATTGGAGCCCTTAAAAAGAGGAAAAGAGTTGCTGTGGAAAAGAGTCAACTGTATCTCAAAAAGTAAACGGAACGACCGTAGGGTCTGACAACGCCCCCCAGACATGGGGTCACGTAATCTGCCTGTAAAATGCGCTGCCCCCAAGTCTGCTGGACAAGGGCTGCCATGTTCCCTGAGGGGAAGAACTGCATACTCATGTGTCACTTTCCACTTCTCTAAAAAATAGGATTTCACCGTGGAGGCTCAGCTCTGCGGTATTTAGGACTCAGGTCATAGTCATGTGCCCCGCCTGCGTACCCGTGGTTTCAGTCACCTATGGCCAACCACATCCTGAAAATATTAAATGAAAAATCCCCAGAATGAACTATGTATAACTCTCAAACTGCACTCCGGTCCGAGGTGGTGTGCTGGAATCTCGTGCTGCCCCGCCCCAGCCCACTCGGACGCAGATGACCCCTTTGTCCAGCTGTGGACTCTCCCTGCTCATCGGTCAGTTACGCCATCTGGGTTATCAAGTTAGTTGTCCGGGTACTGCAGTGCCTGTGTTCAGGCCGCCTGTATTTTACGTAATAATGGCCCCACGTTCTGGCAATTCAGACAGGCCAAAGTGAAGCCGTAAAGTGACTCCTGTAAGTGAGAAGGTGAAAGTTCTCGACTTAATAAGGCATCTTATCGGCTTGCATCTCCACAAGAAGGATGAGTACAGTAAAATACGATATTTTGAAAGAGACTGCATTCACATTACTTTTATTAGAGTATATCATTGTAATGGGTCTTCATTAATCATTGTTAATCTCTTACTATGCCTAATATATAAATGGAACTTTATCATAGGTACATGTGTACAGGAAAAAGCATATTCTGTGTCTGTAGGGTTCAGTACTATCCCGGGTTTTAGGAGTCCCTGGGGTCTAGGAACGCAGCTCCTCTGAACGAATGGAGACCACTGTATGCACAAAAGTTCCCTGTTACCCAGAATTAACGGGGTGAAAGTCATTATGTAACAAGTCCTGAATCCATGAAAGGACCTACTGGATGTAATAGTTCAACTTGGTTTAAAACAGAAGACTGGAGGCTGAGCTTCCGAGAGCTCCTTTTTAACATGCATAAATGGTTGCCATCAAGTGAGGTGGTTTTAATTAAATTTTGCTTAGCTGGAAGGGATTAATGAAAGGTAGCTGCACATCAGAACACAATGAGAATGAAAATCTCTAAGGCAAGTGAACTGCTTTCAGCTTCGTAGGAAAAGTAATGAAAAAATGGAGCTTATATATTATATTTGCATGTTAAAAGAAAATTATTGGTTTCAGATGTGTAACAGTGAAAGCATTCTTCTCGTGGGATACACATTAAAGTTGTCGAAAAACAAATCGAATCGATGTGCCTTATGACATAAGATAAGGAGCCCACTGATGCTGCCTCAAAGCATTTGGGTGCTGCTCCCATTAAACTCC